AAAAAAACACACAGTTTGGTTTATAGTCATATTAACTACCTAGGAAAAAATAGTGAAGCTTCAAAAGTGATAAAATGGGTAAGTTAGTTGTAAAATGGCAGAATAATGGCTTTTAGAGGGAGAAAAACCTGCAGCTTCATGTTGTTCTTACAAAGCGAGGGGAACAGTCTCTACACACTTCTACCTGTAAGGTGGGTTGCAAATTACAGTCAATCAAATAAAACCGTAGTCTACATAAGCACCGTATAAACCTTTAAAATGCAAGAAAATGAGGAATTAGTGAAGTGAACAAAATTATCAAAATATTACCTGTCTGAAATACTAACAGAAAAGTGAGAAAGCCATTATGTTTACGGGAAGAGACGGTTTTAATTAAATGAATCTTCAGAAACTGTCCTATCAGTAAGCTCATTAGTTGCAATAAAAGCTCTTCCTGCTGATCTACAAGCACTTAAAAACCAGAATTTGTTATACTTCAAAGAAAAAAGGTATCTTTAATTCATGTACTGCAGCAGTGTATTAAGCCTACTTCTAGTATTACAAAAGCAGATAGGAAAACCTTAGCACATAACGGAAAAAACAAATTTAATAACCTGAAGTAAACAACTATGGCATAGGTCATACGTCCATTGCTGCTTGCCTGTCACAGATATATACACATAAAACCTCAAAATCCCTTGTTTTAATGGAGGATTTATATATATATGTGTGTATATATATATAGGTGATTTTACACATTTTGAAGTCCTCATATCACATTTTAGGAATTATACTAAGATGTATAAAGTACTATAAAATAGAAATTAGTTTGACAACAAACAGACATAACACTGCTTTTAAAGCCTCACAATTTATGTTAAGAGCTTAATGAATGACACTTATACAACAGTATTATGGAAACTATTTGATGAAACACAAGGAACAAGAATATTTCTTCTAAAAGGATGAAACAGCTATCACATTTTAAGGGAGAATCAATCAGCAATGCATAGCTTTGAAAAACAAATAATTGACTGATTAAAAATGAATTGCTAAACATTGCAATAGATATATGTTAAATCTGAAGGATATTGGAGAAAAAGGGGAGCCCAAATGGAGCCGATTAAGAACGTTTACAGTATAATTGATAAAAGTATGGGGAAAAAAATACAAACTGACAAAAAWATGGAAACAGCATTTTAAGAAATTCAGGGAGAAGCGGCAAGTAAAATACACGTACAAATATGAATGATGGGAAAGGGAAGTGCTCGCTATTTTGAACATTATTTTCAGCCAGCAGTTGAGAGAGACGTTCTGAGACTGAAGGATTTCACAGGAAGGAGTTACCAGGTGCAGGACGCAGGGGCTGGATGCTACAAGCAAAGTTGGATCAGGTAAGAACTCTAAAAGGCACCTTTGAAAGAGCTTGGGACAAACTTGCACTAAGGCTCTTGTCAATCTCTTGATGGTCACAGAAACAGAATATCAAWCAAACAAACAAACAAACAAGAGAGAACCGAGATGCATAGCAGAGTTCTATAGGGTCAAATTAAATGACCACCAAATAATGGTCTATTCTCAAATTAAAATTCATGTAGCAAAAGATGCATAAACAGCATTTGAGCAATACTGGACATAAAAATTTGATTTAGAATTTTAAAAGGGCATTTACCAATAACAGCTTTATGACACAATAATTTCACATTTTATTTACAGAAACAAGTATGCAAACATGATACAGAAGCTCACAACAACAACAAAAAAGCTTACAACAAAGCTATGGAAAAAAAGAATATTCTTAGTAGCCATCATAGATTTATTCTTCAGTATTAATTATAAAAAAATATATATTTCGGAGAACAGTTTAGTGCAACCATGAAGAGAACTGTGCTGCCCCTAATCTTTACTAGGCCAAAGGTAGAAAACATGTTTTAGAAACAAAACATTGAAATAAAATATGACCAGTATGGCTCACATAAAACTGAGCATTGTAGTATTATGATAAAAATCCAGAGAATTATCGTGCATTTCTTCACGCAGCAGGCTTTCCACCACAGAAGCACATATGCAAGCAGAAGCTTCCTAGTGGATGACAGGGAAAAGAGAGGCAGACTTCCCACCTCCTGGAACATCTAGACGTAACCCTCATAGTCAGCAATCTTCCAGATTTAATAGAAATTTGAATTACCCCCAGTAAAGAACACAGGATTATTCCTAAATTCTGCTTCTTGGGATGGAGAAGCTCCTGGCTGTATATCCATATTCTACCAGAACACAACCCATATATTGTATTTGACTAGATAATCATCAGGTTATAAGATTTTTGATGACTTTCCATTTCAGTCTCCCTAGTGAGCACAGTTCCTTGTAACACCTGTGTTTACCAGCTCGCTCTACAAGCTGTAATGCAAAAACAGAGGCACGGTAGAACTGCCAAATGCTATTAAAATTTGGCATTACATGGCACATATTTGAATGGTTTATGGTATTCATGCATAAATTCCAAAATCAAAACATACAAGGGAGAAAATAAGAGACTAAAGTAATGAACTAGCAGAATATTAAGCCTAAGAAAACTTAAGAAAATATTAAGACTAAGACAAYTAAGAATTAGGACAAGTTAGGACAAGTTATTTAAAATAATAGCAGTTAATGAGAAGGGCTAAAATATAAAAGCACTTATTGGTTATATTCTAAAATATGTAACTTCTCCTCTGGGAGAAAAATATGTAACTCCTCTGGGAATTAAGGAAGATGTCTATTACAGAGATCATAATCTGGTTGCTGTTTACTGGGCTKATATCATCTCTATATCTCTATCTATCTATATATATATAAATGATTTAAGAGAATCTTGGTAGACCAGAATTGTCATCTAATCTCCACAAGATTTAATAAAAGGAGCAATCTGAGACAATTCAAGGAAAATTAAACCATCAACGATCACCGTCATTGATGGTTAACCTGTTAGCATCGATCTGTGTATCAGTGGAATGAATCAAGCCAAGTTACTCCCTTAGGCTGGATAGAGTTGGCTCTGACCAGGGGTTATTCATAAGCAATCCTGAACTGACCTTTGGGTAATCATAACCAAAAATAGCCACTTAATTAGATAAACRCACTGGTACACTGAGTTGTTAGAGATGTCCTGGGGCTCTGCCTTTTCTACACAGTAAAATGCAAATACAAAAGTCTCTCAATTAATACACTGAAACAAATGAAAGGCATAAACTTGAACACACATGATCATTGATTTTTGCCCTACAGCACACTTGAATCGGAACAAAGATCCATCTAGCCAACAGCAGGTACTTAAAAAAAGGATAGAAAATCTACTAGTAAACAATGATAATTTTACAGGATACATTGTGGGGTTTTTTTAAAATATGTATCTCAGAATCTTTCCATCCAATAATCAGTAGCCTCATGTAAAACAATTAGATAATTAAAAAAATAGCCTCTTGTAAAACACAATTTAGTTACTCTGGCTGATATACAAAATTTAACCACAATGTAAACAACAACATGAAAAAATCAGTGACAAATTGATGGTGGCTTCTATGAAAATACTGAACATATAAAGGAGAGACTTATTACCAATACAAACAGTTGTATGAAGGACTGGAAAGTATTTGGCAGGTCTTGGAATATACCTGAATTTTTAAGTGTTTATAAAGGACTAACTGAAATTGGAAGTGTTAAGAACACTGGTAACAACCGAAAATCTACATGAGTGACTGTTATCTCAAATTCTCTATCAGGAATTTTTGCAGTTTGTAGCAGGGAGACTTGAGTGAGGCATAGTAGTGAGGCTGGGCAAAGCAACACAGATAGACACTGATATTCTAATAATCATATTTTAGCTTATGTCAGTTAACTCAGACATCACAGAGTCACAGAATGGTTGAGGTTGGAAGGGACCTCTAGAGATCATCTAGTCCAACCCCCTGCTCCAGCAGGGACACCCAGAGCACGGGACACAGGGCGGCATCCAAACGAGTTTGGAAGACCTCCAGAGAAGGAGACTCCACAACCTCCCTGGGCAGCCTGTTCCAGGGCTCTGTCATCCTCACAGCAAAGAAGTTCTTCCTCACATGTTTCCTGTGCTTTAATTTACACCCATTACCCTTTGTCCTATCACTGGCCACCACTGAGAAGAGCTTGGACCCTCCCCGCTACATTYTCTCCTCAGGTACTTATAMATGTTGATAAGATTCCCTTTCAGCCTTCTCTTCTCCAGGCTAAACAGGCCCAACTCATTTGGTCTCTCCTCATACAAGAGATGCTCCAGTCCCTTAATCATCTTTGTCGCTCTCTGCTGGACTCTCTCTAGAAGCTCCATGTCCCTCCTATACTGGGAAGCCCAGAACTGCACCCAATAMTCCAGCTGCAGCCTCACCAGAGCTGAGGAGAGGGGCAGGATCCCCTCCCTCCACCTGCTGGCAATGCTCCTGCTCACTCCCCCTGATGCAGGCCAGGATCTCACCCAGTTCCACCCAACTTCATCTTCCTGCAAGAACATGACAGTGCTGAGGCGGTGTCAGCTTCTAACTCCATGCTTAGTCATTTTAAATTCATCTGTGAGTTTATTTGCAGAAGTAATTCCTAATTCAGAAGTTAAATGTAGAAATCCACTGCTGCTCATACTGAGATTTATGAAATTCCACCCTGCGTGATAAAGCAGTAAGAAGACAAAAGTGTTTTCCCAACTTCCAGTGCTACTGTTGCATGAAGAATTCACATGCAGAAGAGATTTTTTTCTGATTTATAAAAATATAAAATATTTAAATGGACAAAATTGAAAGCCTTTGTACCTTTCTGACTTAGAAGGCACTGAATACCTACTGTTCTTACAGTTTAKAAGATCGAAAATTTGAAATATAGAGTAATGAATATCTCCAAGAATACAACAGTTCAAAATGCTGATGTATGGCATATACTATTCATAACAACCTCAAAAATAATATTTGTGACTAATAAAAAATCAAAAGGAATCAAACTTTCAGTTAGTTAATACATACCTTTACTAGCTTTATCTAAATGCTGAAAATCCTCTACAAAGTTTAGGATATCCTGATATTTTTCTTCACAAACTTCTACAAGAAAATGGAGCAATGTTGTTTTTTGATCTGCTGAYTTAGTGTCCTTCAGCTAGGAAGAAAGAAAAAGTTAAAACTTTGAGAATAATACTCTACATAAATATATTTTGATAAATAATATACAATATTAATTGTGAATACAAAAATGTGAAGAATGAACTGCTGAACAGGTATACACCTTAAGTAAAATTCTAAACAGTTTGCGGTTTTATTTTTCACCCTGTTGAAAGCTCTTACCAGAATTGCATTAAATGCTTGTTTTGTCATTCTATGCAATAGATGAGTTTCTATACAAACACCACCCACGATCTAACCAATATAGAAGTTGAGGGCAAAAGTATAAGTAGATCTTGAGAGTGCAAATTGTCAGAACTAAATCAGCAAAATCTACCATTATAAGGCACAACAATCCACTGTGATCCAATTTCACTGTCTGAAATGACCTGCACCGTAATGAGGCGTACGCAGCAGGATGCCCAACCCCAGGCCTCACAAGTGCTGGAAGTTGCAGCACTCTCAGCAAAGCAGAGGAGTTTGTTCCTCAGTCTTTCACAGCACAGACCTCACAGCTTAAGGATACTCGGGTTCCTCCAACATTCTCAACCACAAACTTCTCTGTCTGAACTCTACAAACAATGAACAGGATTTGAAGCCCCACAATTTGAAAACTCATATCCACAAACAGAAAGTATTGCCATTTTAAAATAACATCTTACAGAAAAGTGCTTGTCTATTGTCTTTTAAACCCTATTTCTGCAAAAGAATTTCTGCAGAAAAAGCACCTCTATACATGATATGCATGAAGTGTCTGCAGGGATCAATGCTGCCAAGTTATACACAGTACCTTAGAGTTTCTGACAAAAATATTGTTAGTGAAGAATAATTAGCACTAAATAAATATAAAACGCATGTTAACCAGTTTCAGTTTAAAGATTGTGTCTTAATCTGGTTACCATGAAAGACACAAATGGTTGGCAATGCAAAACAGCAGGAGAGTAACTAAGAAAGAATATCCCATGGTTGCCAGTTTCTTACAAAGATACTTTTCTCACATCTGTACTTCCCAGTACTCTCAAACATCTCAGAAAGGGCATTTTAGTGACATTAGAAACAGATAAGAATACATTGTTTGCTTTTTCCATGCTTAATTAAAATACTTTATTTCCCATGCTTAATTAAAATGAACAATTGTGTATTGGTAATTACCACTGAAGTTAATATTTCACATTTTACTATGAAAATTGAGAGATGTTTTTCAAAGAACAAGATATGTCCATAAATACAATGATATATACTCTCCTAGCATATGCTTCCATTAAATCAAATGGATTAATTCAAGATAGCGTTTCCAAAACAAGCACAAATTGGGTACTTGGAAAGGGGAAATTACACTCGACCAACCTGAGAGTCTTCTATCATGAGAGGACTGGAGGAGTGGACAAGGGGAAAGGAGTGATGCTGGAAGGAGTGATGCTAGTTATCTTGACTTGAGCAAGGCTTTGGAGAATGTCCTCCATAACATCCTCATAGACAAACTGAGAAAGTGTTGACAAGCAGACAGTGAGTGAGAATGAAAATTGACTGAAATGCTGGGCTAGCAGCACAGTAACCAAGCCCTGGTTAGTCATTAGCAGTGTGTGCCCAGGCCAATGTGGTTTCATGTCCCCACTGATCACCCCAGCATGGGACAGACTGCACCCTCACCACGTCAGCGCATGATTCAAAATGTGGAGAGTTGATGCAGTAGACGGCTGTGCTCCCACTCAGAGGGACAGCTGGAGAAACAGGCAGTCAGGAATCTCCTGGAGCCAAAAAAGGCTCCTAGTGAGGAATAAACCCTGACAACAGGGTACAGGCTGGGGCTGACAGGCTGCAAAGCAGCTTTGCACCAAAAGATCCAGGATCATGGTGGAAAATAAACTGACCTCGTACCAGCAACTGAAGCAAAGATGACTAACAGCATCCTGTGCTGCATTAGGGAGAGAGTTAAAGGTAGGTGAGGGGCAGGATCCTTCGGCKCTGCTCAGCACTGGTCAGAGCACATCTGCGGTGTCTACTGCAGTGCTGTGCCCACTTCTGGGCTCCGCAGGGCAAGACAGACAGACTGGAGACAGCTGAATCCAGCAGCGAAGCCGCTGATGTGCTGAATACCTGGGCCTTTCTTTGGTGTTTGGGATGATGATAAAATGTGTCCTTCTCAGCTGACACTGGTAATATGAATTCAGTACAATAGGAAAATGAAACACGCAAACTCCCAGGGAGTCAATCATCCTCTCTCTCTCTGCAAGTTACACTTACCCTGGGAGATGCAGTGCTAAAAACCTGAAGTATTATAGACTCTCTATAGACTATCTCTAAGGCCAAGGTTTTTGCTCTGTCTCCAACAAAACCTGTAATAATTTACTAAGTTGCCTGTAATAATTTGCTAAGTCAATACACTAACCTTCACTGACATTAAGGTGGCATTATCTTCACTCAGAAAAAAGAGCAGGATTAATGAACTACCTGCCTGAAATATACACCATGTGTATTTCAAATACATGAAATGCTTTGTAATTTGAACTTCAATTTTATACTTGAAGATTTCTTATGCAATATAATTATACTGAGTCCTGGGATGTATGTTTATGCATTGTGAATGAAGCCTGGGAAGGAATAAAACAGCATCAACAGTTCGGAGTGCTGTATGAGCACCAGCATAAACAAAACCTTTCTTTATGTCCTTATAGCCTTCTGTCTACTTTACCAACCTGATCAAAAGTAGCATCTTTTAAGCATATAAGCAAAACTTATGTGCTAGATATATTTTTTTTTTACATCACCATCAATACGAAGTTCCTAATTATCTTTGTAGGAAGTTTTCCTATTTTTTTATCCAAGCTTCCTCTGCTACCACCAAACCAATTATTTTATCTACCTTAGTTGCACCGATCAATGTCTAAAAGGCTTCTTTATCATAAATTAATAACCTAAGAACACTTATGTCTTCCTCCTACTCCTCACATTTCTTTTCTAAATGAAATACACCCAAGTGCTTTCCTTTTTTTCTTACAGAAGTTTAGCAGTATTACATGTTACTACACTCTGGATTCTTACCAGTCAGTCTGTACATTTTTGTTAGTGCTGCATACAAGACTTCCCTTAAGGCCTTCTCAGTATCAAATACACAGGAATAACCAACATATTTAGATTACACAGAAGGCCTTCTAAAACACAGAAAAAAATGCCTCTTTTGCAACAGAATTTATTGTTGAGTCTTGCAACCCCAAATAACCTCTGCAAACGTAAGATCCTAGTTTATCAAACGCATTTAATGCCAGTGCACTACCCTGTTAGCCAGGTCTTGAAACATATTTTCTGGAATATTACCTAGATACTTCTTCCTTATTTTCATTGTTTATATATAACAGAGCCCCAAGTTYAGTATTTTGTGACAGCCTTTCATCTTTTTCATCTTCTAGATGCTAGATTATTTCTCCAAGATCATGTTGATCCTGCTCTCCTAAGTACCTGTAACATTTAACTTTGCATGACTTATTACTTCCATAAATATATATATTTTTTCAATTTCTTACACTTAAAAAAAACCCAGAGAATATAACTGGATCTAGGACTGATCCTGGTAAAAATGTATTTCTAAAGAACTCCCAAGAGTTCTTTAAAACTCTTTAGTAGTTTTAACTAAAAGAGAGTAGTTCACTTAAAGAGAGTAAGTATCTCTACTCTCTGTAGAGAAAGCCTTTAATTCCTATCTTATAAAATMTATTTATTTCTCAACAACAGGTATTTTTAAATTCAATGATTTTATCTACACTACATTCYTCTAGGTCACTGCTACATGCTTAAGTATTTACTTTAAAATAGGTATGGCTTATAAGTTACAACTTGAATATGATACCTATTTTCTGTGTATTTAACACTGGAATACTAGAGTAACAGAACTTCTGKGCCATGGCAGAGTAAGGCTGATGATTTTGAAGAATGTAGGAGTTAACATAAAAGTGTTACATTTTCTCCATTCTGTGAGAAGGAAGCTATGAAAAGACAAAGAATACATCTTAACTTCAAAAATAATTCCTTCTTCATAAGAATTGTTAAACACATGTCTGAATAGTTTGCMGTGACCATGCAGTGGGTACAGGAAAACAAAATTGGAATTGTTAAGGAGTCGGGAGGCGAATAAGCTTAGATTGGATTACAAATTAAAACTTAGGAAAGGATAGATATCTTATTGCATATACCTAATCTTTCATCTTTTGGCTTTTATGTAAGAAAAAATAAATGAAACACAGGGAAGTGATGAGATACTGAGCTTTAAAATAAAAGARTCAGATAAGGAGAGGTTTTATGCACAAGAGAGAACTGTATAAAAAGAGAATAAAATGTGACAGTCAAAAATATCCAGACACACAGGACTGTAATGCTACTATAACAAAATTGATACAGTCCTTCTGCAGCCTTATTTAATTAGGCTCTGTATTATTTCCTAAATATAGAAACTTGCAAAATTTTATACGCAAGCTAATCTCCAAGCACACTGTACGAAGTGTAGTGTATCACTGAAGCTATCAGCTACTGTTAAGAATAATGACAAAAATGAAAACAAATTATYAACTGCCACAAAGACAAAGCCAAGTATCTAGGAGTGTAATTAAAAAAAAAAAAAAAAAGAGTGAACGCAAGAGCAGGACTTAGCACGGGCATTTCAGAACTCACTTTACACAAGGAGCTGAGGTTGTATCCAAAGGTCTGCGCGTTCCGAGAACCTGCATTCATGTAGTTTCCCATTAACAACACCAGTTCCAGGAGCTTGCTGAAGCTTTTACTCTTCTTTATCTCTTCACAGGCAGCACTGACAGCCATGATGTCAGGTTTGATGTTGTTCACCTGCTCCTCAAACTGAAGCTTAAAAAGAATAGCACTGAGCCGTGGCCGTAGTCTCTTCACATTGCTCATCTGATTGAAAAGAAAATAGGAGATTTCCTTTAAAATTCATGCTATACTTCGGCACTGTACAAATGCATACCATCTGAAATGATTTATTGGTGTGACAGGCTTGAGGAAGCAATATATCTGCTATAACTGATAGCAAATGAACGAATGAATGAGAGACACTTGGGTAAGCAACTGAAATCTCATCTTGTGGTTAATAAGAACTGCCTCCATCTTCCCATCCTTTCCCAATAACTAGTATGTGTAAGCAATAAAAGATAAAGTGTCATCATATATCACATCTGTCAACTCACACACCAAATCCTATAAAACTAATCCAAGTTTATGACCCAGTAGTCGCAAAGTAATGAAAGTAGTTCCCAAATTTTGTATAAGTCGGAATTTACCAAAACAAGGCAAATCTCATTTTCTGGTACAAATATTTCAAAGCTGATTGCAATAAGATTATACTATAAACTTGCTGGAAAACATAGCTTTGAAGAACAATTTCTTCTATGAAACATGATAGCATGTGTTTATATATGCCAGTATTTATAGGGCACTATAGTCCTAGCTCTTACACAGTTAATTGGATGGAACAGAACACTCCGAAGGAAACCAAGAGCTTGGGCAGACTGTATGCAAAACACTGGGCCTGCTTTATGCTTTACTGCTCAGGGATTTTCAAGTGAAGTTTCAATCTTCCTGCAGGGMTTTGGTCAATGAGTTTCCACCCTGGAGACAGTTTCCATATCACTGCCATGCCCAGACTACGAGACTGCAAATTGTGTTTGTTCTTTCAATCAAGGAACCKGTAAGGCATTCCATAATTTCCTCCTCCTCTCAAGCTTCCAGTGCTCCACCCAGCCATGCAACTCCACACGGGAATCTTAACATCTTAGGCACTGAATAATACTTGGAAAAATGCAAAAACACTTAAGTTAATTTTAGATGAGTTTTAGATATTTCCATTCCTATTTCGTCGCTGTATGTGTTGCTTAAATTCAAATACCGTTAYTTTTCCTTAACAGCTATTTTTAATAAATATATCACACTACTGAATGCTATTTATTATCTGATGAACACAGAGCATGTGCCTGCAGCTCATCCTGAGCTAACACCCAGACTACAACCGCTGTGATGGTTTTACTGCAAGACCAGGCTGGGAGCTGCTCTGCAGGTTAAGGCTCAGCAGTGGTTGAAGTGTCCTGCCTGCTCTTAGGGTCCCTTCTTCAATTTCATTTTATCTGAAAGGAATTGCGCTTACATGCTCTCCTGTACTGCAAACTCAAGCATTGCTAGGGGAAATAACTGCATATTTTACTTCAAGATTTCCTATCTGAACTAAAATGCAAATGTATATGTGTATTTTTTCCACTGCTAGCCTAGCTATGGGTTACAAACAATTCCTTAAAGCCTTAGAGGTTGCTGTGCTTTGAAGGGGGATGTTGCTATTTCATGGTCAACTTTTAAGGGCACTCTCTATGAAACCTATGCATCTGAAGATCCTAGAAGCATATAAACCAGAATCTTAATTAACAAGTTCTGATTTTCCAAAAAAAACATTTGGTACTTTCCTATCTTAAAATAGAGTCAGACATTAACTGCTAGAAAGAGAAATATATTTTACTTTTTCATGAGACATAGTAATAAGTGGACTGTGACACTTATTTTATACTCAAAAGTTCCGCAGGAACTTAAGGAAATATTTCTTGACAGGGTGACAGAGCCCTGRAAGAGGCTGCCCAGGGAGGCTGTGGARTCTCCTTCTCTGGAGATCTYYCAAACCCACCTGGATGCCRCCCTGTGCCCCRTGCTCTGGGTGTCCCTGCTGGAGCAGGGGGTTGGACTAGATGGTCTCTAGAGGTCGCTTCCAACCTTAGGGATTCTATGAAGGTGTTTAATGAATTAATGTTTCTTCATTTCATGTTACCTCCTTTTTTTCCTCAGTAGTGTTTCATGTAACATTTCAACAAGTACAAGAAATCTTAAACCAGGTATTTTTAATTTTATTTAATCGCATTRCCCTTGGGAAAATAAAATCTCACTGTTGAACTGCTGCGATTATTCAAATTCTCCAAGACTATTGCCATCACTACTATACATTCATAACCAATAATGCCTTTTCCTTTCTTTYCAAAAGGTAATTTAAACCTTATTCACTAGTAAATTACAACATTAATTTAACTTTTTAATTCATRGGTAAGTCTTATTTTTTCTTCCAGAACAGTAATATAGAATTTCTACTATTCRGTTTTCTTTCATACCTTTTAAAATTGATTGGGATAGGAGTTGGGAAAGGAAGTCAGGAGAAAAATAGCTTCAAAGGAGTCCTTTAAATTACATTTGGCTGTTCAAATGTGGAAAATCTGGTTTAGTCCAGCATATCTTTCTAAATGTTGCAATTCTACTCTAAATATGCAACCTATATTATCTGCTTCAAATAACTTCTTTATGAAGGTCTTGTGGAACTAATTATATCCAATTAAAATGTTTGTCAGCACTGAAAAGATTATCTTGATTATAAAAAAATGCTACATGTGCTACAAAAATTCTAATGTTACTCTATATGCCAAACCAAAAATGGCAATTTCTAAAGACTGAAATAATAAGTATTCCACATCACAGATATGCATTATATGGACACAAAAAAGCACTTACGCATAAAGAACAAAAGGCTTTATCAGAATGGACAGAACCCCAACAGATCATTAAGTTCCAAAAATTTATGTTAAAAACAGAAGCAGAAATATCTTTTTGGAAAAATGAGAAACGAGGGCTCAGAGTCTCAGAAGAAATGCCACTGTTTTTGGTTCTATCTATTTACCTGTTTGCTATGTCGATATTGAGAAGGGAAGAGGGGGACAGTTTCCATAGCACTGTAACAGCTTTCTTTGTGATATGCAGTCAGCAAATAAATTCCAACTGTTATGTTCATGCATCTTATCACAAGAGATAAGAAAGAAAGTGGTGCAATATTCAGAGGATTATGGCTCACATCACACACTTTCTTAAGCACAGCCAATACACATAAAAGTTCTAAAAAATTCCTCTGAAATCCTGAAAATAGGCAATCAGAATAATTAAGGAGGTAGACTACACATGTCAGAGAACTCTGTGTATGGGTAACACAGATTTACTGATCTCTTGATCTGAAGTTTAGGCAGTGGCATTTTCCTAAAAATAAATCATCCAAAAGTGAAAGGATCTGATATTAGACCTGAATTTCTCAAAACTTTCTATTTTTAGCAGATCTAACAGCTGTCAGAAAAAAATATTTTCATTAAAAGGTACATATGGAACAGATGCCACTAGACTGAAAAGCTTTCCTCATGGGAAACCAAGTCAGAGCTTAGCTTCGAAAGGATCTTCTATAAAACCTCCAATTCAGCCAGATGGCAAAAATAAATGCCTACCAGCAGTCGAGAAGTCACTATGGAATATGATCCAGAATAATAAAATCTTGAACCAAAAGAAAACTTTCTAGAAGTGAAATGGATCTAGCTGCATTACAGACAGAAAGATCTGATAAACTTAACTGTAAGAATTCTCATTTTCTTTCCTGCTATTAGGAATAATAAATGACTCAAGCACTGTATTAGGGAAAATTAATCTTTCGAAACTCTCCTAGGAAAGCTGGAATTACTGATGGAGAATATTGAAAAGCAACAGATACACAGAACTACTACAGGATGACAGAATAAGGTAAAATTTATGTAAGAAATTCTATGGGAAGTAGTTAATCAAAATTTCTTAGCTATGTTTCATTTCACCACTTCAGGATTTTAAACAAGCTGAAATGGCATTAGAGATACTCAAGCCTCAGGTATTATAGAGGACAGAGTACCCACCTACAGATACAGCGAGAGCTGAATATTTTCCAGGCTCCAGTGAAAAACATTAATACATTCTGAGCTAGTCTCAATGTGAGCATGCAGGTGAAACCATCACTTGAATATGGAATTGATCATTTTAAGTGTTTGYTGAATTATTTAAGACAAACTAGCCTTCATCAGGCCTCACTCTAATCTTCAATTTACTCTAGTGAAATCCTCTCCTTTGGTATGAACTCATTAAAAACACATCCATCAATGAACAAGCTGTGAAATCATGTGAGGACAGCTTGCCAAATTCTATTCAGGTTAGCTACCACTGTACTTCCTAACAAGGTCTGGGCATTAATTATTTCTGAAAGAATATTCCATAATTCCCTCGGTTTTCACTTTGAGTAAATAAAAGTACAGTGCAAAGGAATGTTTCTCTTTCTTTGCCCTGAAAATATGGGAGGATAGTTGTGGGATTTCTAAATGTCACAGATTTCAAGATAGGAAATAAAGCAGGAGCTCTCACACAGGACTCCTGAGACGCTCTTCTTGGACATGGGCTGTTGTACGTTTGCCTACACCAAGGTCAAAGATCCACTAAAAGCATTGTAACAAATATGAATATTTTTAACTACAAAATATTTCAGAAGGAAGGACAACATTATGAATTCAGAAATGGATTTTTCTTGGACTTTAAATCTATGTTAATAAATCTCTGTCACTAACGATTACAAGCATGGTATAGTCCAAATCTTTTACCACAGAATTCAGCTCCCTCCATACAGCACGACCAAATTAAAATTACTATTGCAAATAGTTTGTGGTGTATCAGTTGTTAGCATTGCTGGATAGTTGGCATGGACAGACTGTATGCCTCAGCATTAGCAATGTTAAGTAATTTACGCAAAATAAATTGTTGACCTTATTGTGTGGGGAAGGGGTTGGGAGGAGGTGGATTCGCGCTGCCAGGACGCAGCTCTAACTGCAGTTTCTGGGKGGCTTTTTTAGTTATTTGGATAGTTGGGTTTTTTGCTGCTGCTTTTTGTGCAGTCACAGGAAAACCTAACCTGCCAGAACATGCAGGCACATACTCTTCACAGTRGGCCAACTATATTGCAAGTATTTTGACACTCACCTCTATAAACTGAGAGAGCTAAGAGGTAACAGAGCCCTGGCACAGGCTGCCCAGGGAGGYTGTGGAGTCTCCTTCTCTGGAGGTCTTCCAAACCCTCCTGGATGCCGCCCTGTGCCCCGTGCTCTGGGTGTCCCTGCTGGAGCAGGGGAGTTGGACTAGATGATCTCTAGAGGTCCCGTCCAACCTCAACCACTCTGTGATTCTATGATGTAGATGATCCCTTGCCTTGCCCTGAGGCCCTTGAGATGCCTGGTTGGGAAACACAGGGACACCTGCTAAAGCCCTGAAAAGCTGGAACCAGCATAGCTGCAACACAACAACTTCCCTGTGACTTGACTCTCCATCTCCTCCATCAGGAGAAAGGGAGATACACTTTGCAACCATGGTAACTTGTCTTAATAAATAACAACGATAAGGATAATTCTCAGCAGGCACAAAACTGTTCAGTTTGGCTGGGTCCTCAGCCCATGAGAGCTGGCCCATGGTAATATCCCAAATATGCTAGGAATTGTTTGGGAAACTGCAAATCTGCAAGGCCAAAAGCACGACAGTCTCTATTCTAGCAAATCAGAATCTGAATCAAAAGCAATATTAAAACATGATAAGAACTGACCTCAGAGGGTTTTGGTCACTATTATGTGACCTGTACAATTTTAGGGAGAAGAAGAAGAAAAAAAAAACAGTCTGCATATGCCAAACTTCACTTAGAGATCAAAGGAATTGAGTTCATGAGCTCATACAGAGAAAAAAAAATACCAAAACCTGTATAGATTACCTGAATCATTAACATTAGCAAGCTATTTTAATGAACTATTATTTTGCTTCCTCTCAAACAAAAATGCATTGAAGAGCAAGAGAAAAAAAGTATTCAATATTTGCCACGAGTACTCTAGAATAAAACAGTAATGAAGACAAATTCACTCTCTGTCATTCCGGAATCTTTCCCCTTATTTAAACGATAACGTGTTGGCCATGCAAGACCTGAGGTAAGCATAACTCAAAAAATGGTATATAATGCTGTGCTATCAAATCTTTCTTATATTTAATTTGAGGAGAGGAGAGGAGAGGAGAGGAGAGGAGGGGAGGGGAGGGGAGGGAGAAAAGAAGAGTGGGAGACAGCTTGCCATTTGAAATGAAGTTTCAGGTGGCTTATCTGGTAAAAGGAGATCAGATAATGGTGCTGTAACCTACACGATGGCCAGGAGTTGCAATCTGGTATCATGACTGCACAGCATTTATTTTCATCACAAASCTGTTTATGTGTATTTAAGTAGTGATATCACAGTAATTGCAATATTTATATGCCAGAAGCTATCCAAAACAGATCAGTGTATATAGAGAATGATTAAAAAAAAAAAAAGGAAGGCAAGGAAACAACCTTCAGAGGTCACTCACTACATTTTAWTCCCCTATGAGTGAAGCAACTGTATCACACAGAAGGGATATTAGCACCATCTACTCACAAAAACACCCTGATTACGAAGGCTCATAACATCCTCTAGTCAATCTAGTCTATTGTTATTGTTACTATTAAAAAAAAAATCCCATTATCTAATCTGTATCTTTTTTTGTAGATAATAGAAGCCTATTACATGCTGCTGTATCAACCATCAGTATGCAGGACAAATTATTCTCTTCATCTTTCCAGTTTTCTTGTACATGTTTTGAGAGAAAAGCCTCTCTCGGTCTTAAGTTGAAGAACCCCAATTATTTCACAGCACAGACAGCTAGCTGGTCAGCAGAAGACCCTTCATCCTAACTCCATGGCAAGAGGGTCACAGCACATCATACACAAAACCACTTATCTCACTGGCCCTCCAGGTGACTAAAATGTTAAGTCCTAGAGCAAACTGATACATATTTGCCAATGAGAGAAAGAACTAATTAAAAAATATACAAATAAATAAACCAAAAACCCTACACATCACACACACTGTTAATAGTCACCTGCTGAGATGACCTGCTGAAATCCCTTTCTTCTCTGATGGGTCTCACTGCAGTTATGTGACTCATTTTACAGGCATAGTATTTATTATTGACAAGTTCTATATAATATACTCAATATCCTTTCATAAACAATGTAACCTCTAAGAAAATATGGAGGTGAAGTTCATTTTGGAAAAAGTTACTTTAAGAAAATCAAGTGCAAAATATAAACCACAGTAAAACAAATACAACTGAATATTTAAATTTTTGCAAGCACAATGATGCTTCATCAAGAATTTGAACAACAAAACATTCAAAACAATTCAAGATAGTATTATGTAGAGAAGGTAAAGCACTCAATAAAATGAACAGCTTTAACAGTTTTCATAAAATAGTGCAAAGATGTATGCAAACAAACAACTCTAAAAGCTCCAAAGTAATAGCTGATAGCATCTAAGCTCTGATACAGCATCCTGCAATAAGTGAAAAAAAAATAACATACAAAAAAATAAACCATTTTATCTAAAGAAAACCTAATGTCTGGAAAGGAAGATAAGGGTAATAAAGGATTTATTTTATACTTACTGCTGTATGAACAGAAAACACAAAAGTGTGAAACGACTTAAAAAGAGAAAGATAAGTGCAGAAACCACAAAAGCTACCCATAGAGTCACCAAAAAAGAAACCAAAAATAAGCAAACAAACAAAAAACATCCTCCTGGAACGACCCTGTACTGTTTTAAGAGCCATGTTGTCCACGTCCTTAAGCCAACAAAGAAAGTTTATTAACTTCAGTTGAAGTAAAACATATGACAGCCATAACCTGACAGTATCTTAATAACTATCTAGCTGTTTCTTTGACAGCAGCAGATCTCAACTTGGAATCCAAAGTCAGAAGGATAAAAGAGGGTTTATATTATTAAAATTATAACATTGCACAAGTGGTAATTGTCAGTTTATTCTTTACTTATGGGTTTCTCTGAGRGCCAAACAGTTTAGCATTTGAGTTAAGACAAGATGCTTTGTGTGCTCTAAAGCACATTAATCAGGATCTCTGAATTCTTTGAAATACTATAATTCAAAAAAAAAAAACTCTTCAGCTAAAAGTAAGTCTGGCACTGCATCTTTTATTTAGTTGGATTCTTCTCATTTAGGTAAGTAAAAAGAGGGAATTGTCACATTTTTAAGAAAAACAGGAAAATAAAATCCACAAGATCTATACTGAGAAGATTAATATTTGTGCCCACGACAGTTCTTAAAAAATGACGACGTTCTCAGTCTGAAATATAAAGAAATAAAAGATATAAATGAAGCTGACAGAAATTAAAGAACTTTGATGATGAAAGATTCTAGAAATATTTAGGACTCGGAAACTGGAAACCTGCATTCTTCTCTTAGAATGAAACTTCTTCACATTCAGCAGTTGGTATCATTTCTGTAATAGCACACTGTTGCAGATAAGAAAAGACAGTGACACCACAAACAGAACTCACCACGACTCCAAACTGCTCTGGCTCGGACAAATTATTGTACTCRCTCTTGAGCTTGGACAATGCATTCAGCTGTTCTTGCTCAGGAAGATGTTTTATTAAATTCTAGTAAGAAAAAAAAAGAAAAAAAAAAGGAAATTTATAAATCTCAGAACCTTCATCAACTGTATAGCTGTAGGTGAAGATATTATTTATGAATCATTAACATATACTCCAAAGACAACATTCCTGTCCTTAAGTCTGCAGAATATAAATAGCCAACAAATATACATAAAATGGAATTGAGAATGCACAAAGTATATGATCAACTAGGGCTGGCTAGTATCTTTTGATGATTCTACCCAAATCTACATTTCTGCAGACTTTTTCTAAATACCATGTTTAAAGAAAGGATATGTTTTCTGGCACTATTCAAACAGAATGCTTTGGGAGACAAGTAGGGAAGACAAAGTAAGAATTCCAAGCGTAATTTTTCCAGTTAAAAGATGTCAGGAAAGATTAATGCAGACCTCCAAAAATACTTTAAAAAGATAATGTATTTTCCAGTAATTCAAAACAAAACTAGACTCTAAAGTGACAAAAGGAAAAGTAATGCCTATCTCTACAAATCTGTTAGCCACTACTATGCCTGTGAATTCCTACAGGTGGGAATTCAGAGGTGGAACTCGGGTCCTGTTGAATGCACAAGTCCATACAAGGAGCTTGGCCATCTATATAAGTGAAGGTCTAGTGAACACAGGAAAGGGAGGCTAAAGATGTTGCACTTAACTGATTCTCTGAAGAGACTTCAAGATTACCTGGAGCTTCTTGGGCACTTCACAACCTATCTTTTCCTGCAATTAGGCATCCAAATCACACTCTGCTTATGATCAGCTATCCAGGCTGAACATGGCTATCCTGAGCAGATTATTAGAAACAGAGATTCTCAAATATCTCCTTATGGCAGGTAATTTGATAATCAGTAACTCATTTCTGTCTCACGCCAGATGATTGCTCTAACTACTGGGCAATAGTCAGATTCCCTCCAGGCTGCCCTCTTACTGATCTCACAACTTTTGCCTTCCTGGTTATGCAGAAAAKAATCTATTTTCACCTTAAACTTCTACAGTGTGGTAATATCATTCTTCTGAACTGGAATAAGGGATCAGTCCTTCTAACACAGAATAAGGCCTGGAGAACACTGCTTCCAACATCCTTCCACCATATTTTCAAGGAAGGACACCAGATTTCATCATCATTAATTGGGAAGTCAGTCACATACGTTAAGCTAAAGTCTATTTATGTACTGTGCAAATAAATAGCTAATCCCCAGTATAACCAACAAAAGAGAATTTCCTTAAGTTGATGAACATGATCTCCCTCAACGTCTTGAAAAACATAATTTTATCCACAGAAGAAACTAATTTCTTCCCCCACAGGACATTCAGGCATTTAGAATATATAAATTATATCGCTGGGGCCAGACAGTTAAAAGTTATAGCTAAGCACTGCTTAATTTAAAAAGATTTCAGCTCTAACTCAATATCCAAAACACATCCTGAGATCAGTACTGAACTCGGTGGCTATTTGATCTTCACAACCCACATTATTAGCTGGTGAAAAGGTGGCACTTAGTGTTTATTCAAACTGCAAAAGTGCCAACCGGCCAACAGATTGCAACATAAATCTTCYCTTTGTTAAAAAACAAAAACATTGCATTTGAAATGAAGAATACATATATTTAAAGTTTTTTTTTTTTCAAAAACATTTACTGTAATAGTTTCATTTGTTCAATACAACTTGTTTGATCTCTTAGATCTCTTTACGATCATCAGCTAATTTTAGTTCAGTAGTTATAATTCTTAAAATCAAATTAGGATTTCTATTCTTAATACAAAAATAGTTGTTACTTTAAAACAAAACAGTGATAAAGAACTGTCTAGGTATTTATTACTAATAAGATTTTTGTACATACTCTGTTTTCATATTTTTTTGATAGCTACAGTATGGATGACAGAATTTACACTTCATTAATACATTATTTATACTTTATTAATAAAGTCAGCAAAACAAAAAGGAAAAATCTAGACTGATGAGTAATGACACAGGTAGACCAAAGTAAAATTAAGAGATAGTTAAAGAGCAGACAACCTCAATAGGTGGTCCATGTTTGAATAAGAATTTTGGTAGAAAAAAAAAAGAAACTATTAAAAATGCATGAATAATATGAAGTTCAAAATAATAAAGTAAACTTAAATTTTATGGAATTAGACTTAGACAAGGCCAGAATGACATTCATCATGAAGAATTTATGACAGCAGTTATATATATCTTAATCATTATTACACCTGAAAAATATTTTTGTAGAAAGGACTACATTTATTATTTATGAACAGAGGTGTCCGGATCTAGATATGTCACACTCAGCAAAAATGAAAGGGCACAGACAGCTAGAGTATTAAAAAATATATATTTTAAACTATAACTCATTTCTGTTTTACTATACAAAATACAACAGCTCATGTAACCAGCTATTATCCATATCGTAAATACACTACAAGTGATGAATTTTTACTAAAGTCTAAATGTTATTTTTTGATGCTAAAATAATTTGCACACATACAAAAATGAWCACAAAACTTTCAAAAAATAGAAGCAGTCAAGTGACTGTTTTAAGAATGTTTTCCATTTTGAGCATCAGCAAAAATAGGCAGCAGCTGATATCAAAGCACCTTTATGGTGCTCAAATAAAGCTTTTGAACTGTTAAGAGATTAAATTCATTTTGAATTTGAAACAGAAAAAAAAACATGAGAAAAATTTTAACTGAGTCACAAGAAACACTCTGACAATCAGTCAATGACTACTTGGACTACAACATGATTACTGGAGCTCTAAAGCCTTTCTATGCTGGACTTAATTCAAAACAACAAAAAGGAGAAGATGAAAATAAAGACAGAAAGAGAAAGAGCATATGTATAATTGTATATTTATAAATGTATAAACGATATATTTTGGTTATATTTCTTAAGAATACTGCATAACAAAGGTATAAGATGAAGGACAAACCTCTAACTTCAGAAACTAGGGCATTAAGAGACACTGGAAAAAAAATCAAAACAGGACAAGCTTTGGTGAAGAAAGAAGAAGCACAATAACATGTAAAGTACTTCATATAAAGCCACAGAATCACAGAATGGTTAAGGTTGGAAGGCAGCTCTAGAGCTCACCTAGACCAACCCCCCTGCTCCAGCAGGGACACCCAGAGCACGGGGCACAGGGTGGCATCCAGGAGGGTTTGGAAGACCACCGGAGAAGGAGACTCCACAACCTCCCTGGGCAGCCTCTTCCAGGGCTCTGTCACCCTCACAGTGAACAAGTTCCTCCTCACATGGAGAGGGAACTTCCTGTGTTTCAACTTGTACCCATTACCCCTTGTCCTGGAAGKGGGTCACTGGCCACCACTGAGATGAGTTTGCACCCGTCTTCCCTACATTCTCGTACTTATACATATTGATCAGTTCTCCTCTCAGTCTTCTCCAGGCTAAACAGGTCCAACTCACTCAGTCTCTCCTCATACGAGAGATGCTCCAGTCCCTTAATCATCTTAGTTGCTCTCCGCTGGACTCTCTTTAGAAGCTCCACGTCCCTCTTATACTGGGGAGCCCAGAACTGCACACAGTACTCCAGGTGYGGCCTCACCAGAGCTGAGGAGAGGGGCAGGATCCCCTCCCTTGACCTGCTGGCAACACTCCTCCTGATGCAGGCCAGGATCCCATTGGCCTTCTTGGCCATGAAGCAACTGCTGCCTCATGGTTAACTTGGTGTCAACCAGGACTCCCAGGTCCCTCTCTGCTGCTCTCCAGACGGTCAGTCCCCAGCCTGTAGTGGTGGCCGGGGTTATTCCTCCCCAGGTACAGGACCCTGCACTCGACCTTGTTGAACCTCATGAGGTTCCTCTCCACCCAACTCTCCAACCTAGAGCACAGCCCTCTGGAGTGTCGGCCACTCCACGCAGTTTGGTATCATCAGTGATCTTGCTGAACATGCACTCTGTATSTCACGTATTTATACATATGGATCAGATCTCCTCTCAGTCTTATTTTCTCCAGACTAAACAGGCCCAGCTTCCTTAGTCCTTCCTCATAAGAAAAACAGGCCAGGCTCTTAGCCAACTTTGTCTCTCCACACTAGACCCTTTCTAGTTCTACATCCCTTTGGTGCAGGGAAACCCGTAACTGCACACAATTCTCCAGGTGTGGCTGTACCAGAAGGGTTGGTTTTTTTTTTTTTTTTTTTTTTNTTTTTTTTTTTTTTTTTTTTTTTTTTTTTTTGGTGCTTGATTTACGCTCTCAAATATTAATGATTTTGCAAAAATTGCATTTTTTTTTACTCCTGAATGACTTTTATACTTAAAAATCTACCATGTGACCTGATAACCTCTAGAAGGATAAAGAAGGTAAACTATTCAATTAAAGTATTTTTTTCTCTTAGCTTTTTGCAATTGATGTTCATGCCATATGTTCACATAAAATATTGTCATTAATTAATTATACACTAATGGCTTGATGATTGTTTCCCAAGGGCCTAAAAAAAGAATTTTTTTTTTTTTTTTGTCTTCTGAAAATTGCTGCCATCAAGTCATTCGTTTCACATAATACTATTGATATATAATGCTTATATACAGGTCACTTGATAACACTATTGATGATCTAATACTGTTAATATGTTAGTACGGTTAAATTTTTGCTTTSGGAAAGTAGTGGTAAAGTCAAATAGCATGACACAGTTTTAGAGGAAGCATGGATTATGAGAGAGCTCAAGCTGTACATACGCACAGCATATTCCAGCTCTCAGCTTGTCATGCTGTTTATAGAATTTCAGTTATTATTCAAAAAAGATATAATATACATGACTTACGAACATGAAGAAAATCTTGAATAATTGATGTGAGCACAAATTAGCACAAACAGCTCAGAGATGTAAATTCTATTCATCTAATAACCTTTAAGCAATRGAGAGTTTCAATGCCAATATTAACTGCCTCACTGAACAAAATGAAAATAATTAGACAAAGATTATGTGTACTGGAGATAATGGCTTGTGTTGGTTCTTCAAATATCTCTTAAGACCAACATCTCACTTCGCAAATCAATCAGCAGATAAGCTCCCTTTAAAGGAAAGTGAAGTTCAAACCACTCAAAGGAATCTAAAGATCTGTTGAAACCCAAAGCATAGGAATGAGGCCATTACTRCAGACTGGAAGAAAAGGAATATACTGAGCACTGTATGGTCTCCTCAGCAGGATTCCATTTTTAATACCAAGGACAGCTATTTTTCAGACAAAGCATGCAAACCTAAATCTGTCCTTTTGTGTGTGAGTGCTTTGACCTTTGAACACAAATTGCAACACGTTGCAGTGTAAGACTTACATTTGAATCTTGGAGAAACTCAATATTACAAGTCGTTTTACAACTCTATTACCTCTATTTATCTCTTTACTAATCAACATTCCTGAAAATAGTTTGTGCTCCCTAAAAATCTACTTTCAGCTTTCTTTGATGTTTCCGTAAAGATTGCTACCAATTCGTCCAACACAATTTTGTGTATATTTTAGAGGTCAATTTTAGAAGTCAGTTACATAAATCCTCTTTAAATAAACCCTAAGTTACTTTACTAATACATTGATAACAAGTACAACGATATTTATAAGCAACAGCAGCAATAATTTGAGGCTCATCTAGGAACCCTGCCCAAAATACAGCATGGAGCAAGCTGTAAAAATAGAAATCCCAATCAGATAACAGGATAAGATTTTCATCATGAAATTCAAAACTGGAAAATATGTGCAGGGAGACTCTGAAATTCATGATCGTGGAGTTATTCAAAACTCAGTGGACAAGGACCTGAGCAACAGGACTCAGAAGACTTTCAAGCATCCCTTCCGACTTATTTTTTTTTATGATTCTTTGATGAAATATTTGTAGTAAGACTAGACCCACCAAAGTTTTTTTTTTAACCTTGTCTATAGAAGAGCAGAAGGATATCAGGATCTCCTAGTAACTTTATGTCCACACAGAATAACACTGCTTGTGCTTTGAATAAAATAATATTGAAGAGAAAGAATAATATTGAAGAAAAATAATATATGCTATTTGAATATATATAAACTAAATCACTTGACTGTAGAGAATATAAATATAAAACTCAGCTGATCCCATAAAAATTATTAGCTTTGCAACAGTAAATATATGCAAATGTAAAATGAACCAGAGTTCACAGAAAAAAGAAAACCGTTGCAGTGACTCACTCATCAAAAAAACAACGTTAACAAGTTTAAAGAACTGTTTAYTCTGAAATAATGGAATTTAATCTGTCAATTTTCTTACCTGAATCATGGACTCTGCCAGCTGTGTTTCATCTACTTCCAATATCATTGTTTTGATTTCCTCGTAAGGCATTCGGAAAGAGCCAAGGAAAATTGCTAAAACAAAGATTGAACACATAATGAAGAGAAGACAAGAATCAATCCTTTTTTTTTTTAATGTGCAAAACACAAATTAAACAAGCTATATAATCTACAGATCAAACATGACACAAGGTCATACAGAAAAGATGTAACAACTTTATGTACACAATTACTTCTGCCTTCCTGTTCCAGTCTTCTCCATCCATTTGTCATAGATAAACATTCACTACCAAAGATCATGATCAGCAGTCAAAGACCTCTGCAGGAAATACTGCTGCTATATTAGTTTGCTCTGAGATGATAGTTACTTATTTTTACTTCAGTGGTTTGGGTTGTGCTTTCTCACAAAAAGAAGAAAAACACCTTGAGAAAGTATCAGTACCAAACCATGTAAWTTTTTTTAAAAAAGCTCTTTTAATAACTGCTTATGATATATAGGCTATAATCCAGGAATTTACTATTTTGTTTCTGACTGCATTTAGTAAACTATTTTTTAATGGAACTCCTCTCCCCAAAGCCACTGTGACGGATATGCTCCTTTTCCAGCTCAACCTGAGCTGGGTTATCACTGGTGATAACCACCAGTGATATTATCTGATCCTGGTAGGCRCCTCCCTGATTTCTTTCCCCACCCAGACAAGCAGTCTGTCTCAGACATGCAGTCCTGGTGGCTGCATCTCAATAGGGAGATAAGGCTCATACTGCAAACACCAGACAAAAGTCCTCTGAAATGAAAGAATGACTACAAGTCAATCATCTTATCCTGTAAATATGTGGACAGCCCGAGAGCCCCTTGAGCTCTCCTGGCATGGCAGCGGGCTGCACATCAGGATCTCCCCTTGAGCAGGGTGGCCTCTCAAGGATAGTCCTCAAGGTTGAGAGATCCCTTTCCACAACAGATTCCTGGTAAGTGAATATAGCGCGCTCTCTTTAAACTTTACTTTGTAACTGTGCACAGAAACCCTTAGTCATAAACCGTTGACCAGGTCTGGRACTAGGATTGGATCTAGTCGCACCCAGACACCTCTCAGAAGGAGCTTGGAAAGCAAGGGGTTCCAATCTGAACCTCGTGACCCAACGGGAGGCTGTCTTTGATAATTCTGTGTGTATCTTGAACCTCCATGCAGTAAATAATATGCCTCCTTGCCATAGAATCTCGTGCAACCATTGTCCRTATCAATAAAACCTATCACTATTTCTTTCACACGAGTGAAATGCATTGTGTCACTCACCCCCCACCACCTGCTCCATGACAGCCTCCCAGTCTCTTTATTTGTATATTACCACATAGTACTGTACCATACTGACTGTTGTTTGTTTTATTAAAAGCATATACAAGAAGGTCAAATAAACCTTTTCTGGAATGCTACCTAAGTAAATGGTTGAAAATAAAGGTAAGTAATTGTATATAAAGCTGTAGACTGTGACTTAGATATGTACAGAAGAGAAGCTAAATCTCTCATTTACGACTGAAATTATTAACTGCTTTCTTAAGCATACATCTAAGTGGTATTTCCTATGCACATGCACATATTCTCATACCTGCTTTAAATAAAATGTGGTTACAAGGCAGTCAGACAAAGAAGAAAAAAAACACTGGAACATTATGGGCACATTAACTTGTCAAATCAAAATCAACTTACATAGATTCTGTGCAATCTTTGGGTCCAAAACTTTCAATTCTTTGATTCGCTTCTTAATGGATTTCTTTTCTTCAAAATCTTCTTCCTCTTTTTTTACTAGAACACAAGAACACTCACTATTAATCTTTAATATATAGAGAAAATATTTATTAATTCAGGAAAATAATTTCCTATCAACTGTAGACAATTCACAAAGAAAAGATCTGGTAACACAAGGCACAGACAAAAAATATACAGTGGTTTTGAATATATTCCTTATGTTTGCCTCAAAACTATACTCTTCAGGAGGGCAAAGTTAAAGGGGGGCCTTGACTTTTTTTATATGAACTTAATAAAGATGTCAATGTTATTTGAAGACAAAATCTCCAGTGATAAAACTCACATGTCTAATATACCAAGCAATATACTTCAGTTAACCTGGTCAGGTTAATACTCTGAAGTTGAGCAAGGCGATAACAAAACAAAGGAAGAAACGTCAAAACCCCTCAACATTAAGCAATAAAGATAAATCCCCCAAATTTAAGTATTTCTTGTGATTGCTTTTCTCTAAATGCTGTAAAATTATTAAAGACCACTGGCTCTTGGCAGGGGGAGATGGAGAGGGGACCTTGGAATCTAAGCAATATATGCTTACTAGATCCTTCGTTCACCTACTCCTAAGAGATTTACTTTTAAATATATAATGCAATCACTTTTGCTATAAAAAATTACAAAACCTATGGTTGTAGAAATGTATGTTGATCTTGAAGGATGTAAAGTCACAGAAATTTTGTCTTTTTCTTCCTTTTCAGAAAAAAACACTATTTTTGCATATTTTTCCAGAGCTAGAATGGATAAATAAAATCGCCCAAATCCCAAGCCTTAAAACTCTTTAAGTTTTACCTTTTCTTCTTTTCTAATTCAGCACAAATCTTTACTGTTATATCCTCCTATCACTCATTAATTCTATCCACTAKTTCACATCTGAAGTTAGGTTCCAAGTTTTTACAGCATGATTGTCCCAAATTTATACATTTTTCATGCTTCAAATATTTGAAAGTAGAAAATATGTTTCAATAAAAGTATAAATTACTCACTTCAGGAGGAGATGGATATAAATGAAAAGTCTAGTCTAGCATACACAAAAACCTAACTATTATTCTTTTCAGAACAGTCACATATAAGCTTGCCCTACTGATTTAGAGAACACCTTTGTCTAAACATAATAAAACCTTCTCAGGGTAGGGAGACACATTAAGTGATCTCTTGATGCCTTTGAGCCTGTTTTGCTATGATACTACAGAATGAAGATATGGGGACTAAAGGAGCTCCCGAGATGGYGGACACACAAATTGGAATCACAATCACACAAATCCCTTTGTATGCTTTCCTTCTGAAAAGCCACCACAGCGCGGGAGAGAACCCAGTATTCTGGGAGACCTGAATATATGAAGGGGGAATGTAGGGATAAAGGGGCCAAGCTCTTCTCAGTGGTGGCCAGTAATAGGACAAGGGGCAATGGGTACAAGTTGCAACACAGCAAGTTCCCTCTCCATGTGAGGAAGAACTTCTTCACTGTGAGGGTGACAGAGCCCTGGAACAGGCCGCCCAGGGAGGCTGTGGAGTCTCCTTGTCTGGAGRTCTTCCAAACCCGCCTGGATGCTGCCCTGTGCCCCGTGCTCTGGGTGAGCCTGCTGGAGCAGGGCGTTGGACTAGATGATCTCTAGAGGCCCCTTCCAACCTTGAACATTCTCTKATTCTGTGATCTCCAAAGGTGCGTCCTAACCTTAACCATTCTGTGATTCTGAGATGCAGGACCCAGGAGTGACATCCACATAACTAGATTAAAACCATAATCCACCTTTTCTCTTTGTTTTCACATTTTTTGGACATTGGTAGCCTTGAATGCCTTTTAGCACAGATTTAACCAAAAAGGTTAGCATCCTCCAGTCCCAAGGAATCCGACACAGTTTGCCTCCTACATCTGTAAGAGCAAAAGTAGAAGATCTGGACTACCAACCTGATAGGTATCCGTGCCAATATTAGAACTATAACGAGGCTAGAGGGGAGGAGACCATCAAAGTTTTCCTTGTGTAAAGCCTGTGGATCTACTGCAAGACATGGATAGCTCTCTGTATCTAAAGTTATATCCAGGCCATCTTCATGTCCTACTGATTTAAACTGTGATRAAGACACGCTAATGCTTTGGGCCTATTTTAGAACATGACAGATCATTTTATAGAAAAAAAAATGATTTCCTTAACAGCCACACTAAACTAAGTTAATTAATCTGAACTTAATTTTGACTTCAGTGACAACCTTGAACTAGATACTAACTGATACTGAAATACAAAAGCTACAAATATATTCACCTTTTCCAGCACTAGGAAGCAATGTTTATGCATTAAAGTCTCATAACACAGATTAATACAAACACAAAAACAAAGATTAAACACACTTCTAACTTACAATTTTCCTTTCAAGAAACAAGGCTGCRAATCATTACTTATTACGCACAAAATTATAGCAATATCTAAAGCATCATGACCTTAAGGAAAAACAGACAAGCACAGATTTCTTTTTTGGTCTAGAAGCCAACTCAAGGGTTGCATGCAGAGTTATACAACTACACAACTAACTAAACTACTGCAAACTTACATGATACTTCATCAGGAGAATTCAGGTCACATCCTTAGGTAGTTGGCAGCAGCAAGAGGCAAAGAATACTTATTATTACTTGTTTTTCCTGCAGGAAATGTTGCACTCTGCAATGAAAACTCCGATACCTACTACTGCCACAAGACATTTTTACCTAAACTGTGTATTAACTTGCAAGGGAGCAATAAACAGAGTTACAAAATTATCTACTTCCAATAAAAGGAGAAAAGGGGGTGGGGAGGGGGGGGGAAGACAGAGAGAGTGAGAGAGAAAGAGAAAAATCCACTGGAAAAATTGAAGAGAGTTAAAGGGAAGGCATTGCACAGGTGAACTTCACTGTTTTTTTAGATTATCCCTTTGCTACTACCATAATTACAGAGTAAAAGATAAGCTTTACCTAAGAATTGTAAACCTATGTATGYTTTTAGGTGAACATCACAAACTGTCAACTAGAAGATATCAAGTGAGAAGCATCTTCAGGCAAATTTAATAGGACTATATGTAGGTACATATTATATATATGTATATATATTTTAAATTATGGTTTGTGCACCTTTAAGRCAATCACTGAACACTTTGGCATTTCATCTTTACAAACAGGATGTGGCTCCTTGGCACACAGCACGGAGGCAGGAAGACCGACTGCGCRGTCAGGGAGCTGGGAAACTGTCTTCTCTCCAAAGCCACCAGCCAGTTTGAAGGTTGTATCAACACAAACTGTTTTAGCCTCAGGAACCATTTCTCTCTCCTAACAGTTTCTCCCCCCGAAAAGAGCCAGATTAGATTACATTTCAAGTACTATCAGAAAGCTTCCACACTCACTCATATTTTATATCTCTCTACATATTGAGAAGCAATGTGAAGCTGTTATAGTAGGAATATGCATAATGTTTCACAGTTTTAGCTATCATCTTTGAAACTGAGGAAGTTACCATTATTTTACATTAAGTTTGACTGCAGCTACTATGAAAATATAGATACTTGTCATTCTTTATCTGCACTACGATACACACATGGAAAATATAGCAGCAGTGCTGATGCATTTTGGACTTCTGTTCTTTTTTGGCAGTTTCTCCTCAGTTTCAATTCATACTTTTAAAACACTAATTGACGTAATTGTCATATTTTAATGTTTGTCTTCTGAGTGATTTGTATGAGATTTGTCTTCTTATGTGTACACACTCAGTCATGTACTCATACAACATCCTTTGCATAACTTTTTTGACAGCACTGCTATTGATTTGGCTCAATTAATACATACAGAAAATATAACTCAGTCAAAAATACAAGATTTGATTTTAACTAATTGCTCAGAGCTACATAAGACACCACATCTAATACCAAAAGTACTAATAACCTGTTATTTTATCTCTGACACAGGCTACTGCAATTTTTATTTACTTATTTATTTAATTCACGCCTCTATAATAAGTTATTGAATGCATTCAGTGACTTCCTTTACAGATATTTTCATGGATAATACTTTTTCTCCCTACCTCTATAAAAAATAAAAAAATACAGTTTGAAACATCATTGCAGATGGCTTGAGCTCTGGCACCATCTATATTACTTAATACAGTCCATAAATGAATATTCTGTATGTACACTCACATTAAGTGCATAAAAGCAAGCACTTAAGTTCAGAATCTTTACAGCTCCCACTAGTTAAGTGCAACCATTGAAATAATGTACAATCCAAACATGAATAGACAATTAAGATAAGCATATAAGGTCCCTGTTTACACGAAGGCAGCAGGTAACGGGCATAGGGTGATTGATCATGCAACAAAACACAAGCACATTGGCAAAAGCGATTAACAAAATGGCCCTGCATTTTTGCTTTAACTTATTTTTCCTTTTTTTTCAACAACGAGCACCAGAATTTGCAGTTAAAAAGATAGAATACTGCTTTTGGAAAAATTAGCCAAATAGCTTGACTAAGTCATTTTGCAGTATCTTTCTACAATAAAAGTAAAAATTGAGATGTTCTCATAGTACCCAGTGTAAGTTCATCCATTAACTGATGTCATTAAACTTTCTCCTGTATTTTTAATAGTAGTTAATAAAATTGAGATGAAATTTAGCTCTGGAATTATATTTCTCACGAAGTAACTATCTGAAACACTATCAGAAATATGGTGATACAACTCAGAAGATTCCTCTTCTGAGTCTTACCATTCGAACAACCACTTTGGCCCCCACACCAGAATCGAAGGCTTTAACCAAGACTGATTCAACTTCTTTTGGAAAGGGCAAGCCCTAAATCCTGTAAAGATTTAAGATTTATTCACTTGTTTTCTTGAGAGAGAGGAAAACAAAAAACGAATAGAGATGACCTTCTGCTACACTGCAGTTTGCTGGAAAGAGAGAAGTAGATGGAAAGACAAATCCAGATATACTGGTGAACCCAGTAGTAATGTTATTTAGTGTCCAGTTACAATAGACCTTAGATTTCAGATATTCCCATTACAAGGAATAGTCCTGCCATCAAACCACTGGCCTTAAAAATATTGATCTGGATAGCTTCTATCCAGTGGCAGCAGGTTCAGCTATCCAGTAGAACAGCAGGTTCAGTTGTGCTTGAGAGGTGAACATTGTTGTGCCCCGTGGATCAACTAAGTTGCTTATCACCCCATGAAATAGAAATACGACTGTTCAGAGTCCTGAAGCACTGTTCCCTGTTTTGTGTTGTATAAGGAAATATCTGTTTTTATTTGTTAGCATCTTGTTGTATCTCTGCTATACCTTTACTAAAGAGTGAGCAAGACCACAGAAAATATGCAAGAAATGAACACAACATGGACTTATGCAGTAAAAACATGGTTTTTTGTTTGTTAGTTTTCTAACAGTTCCCCAAATTTGTTTTTAACCATTAGTGAAAAAAGACGACTAAAGATTTATCATCTATTTGCTCAATAATTCTACACTTCATTACTAATTTTTCTACAATAACCCTGCCACGAATATCTCATTACTCTTCTGCAGATCCTTAAACACACCCAGAAGCCTTTTGTAAAAATTGTTGCAACACTTGAAGCCCCGTTGCCTTTACTCCAGTGCCAGCATGGGCTTGAAAGGTAGTTTACACATTTCAGTTAATAGTTCACGGCATCCATCAGCTCCCTTCAGATTCCTGGGGGAGCACCTGCCGCTCCAAGCAATTTGCGACTGTTCATTTAGCGACCTCCTCTAAAGTTTGCTCTACTCATCATGCTGCTTGAGATAGATTCCCCCAATGCAGAAGTCCCCCCCCATACCCTCCCCAAAGACCAGTTTGCATGTGATCTTGTTGTAACATCAGCTGAAATGATTTTAAGCTTTAGATGCCGGAAAGAAGATATATATTTGACATATACTTTTTTTTTCTCCTTTGGAAGAGAGGTAAGAGGCATAACTCATACCTTTCTATTGTATTTTTATTAAATCCTTCTTTGTGCTCAGAACCAGTGCTAAAATTTTAATATTCCAGCCCTAATTCAGTAAAAAAGTAAGAATTAGAATAGAATTTACAACATACTGAAGTCCCCGGAATTTAAACATAGGCTTACTGCATGAAAATGAGGACACTTCAAGGTGTTGCCTCCCTTGCCCATAGATTTTATACAGTATATATTAAGTAGAATTAATGCACTTCAGTACTTCCCTAACCATGCTCTGTTCTTGAGAGTCTGCAAATATTTAGATGCCTTTAATCTTCTAATAAACAATTCACTACTTTGCTTGATACCAAAATGGTTTCAATTTCACTTTACATCTTCCAGAGTTGGACTCTTCCAGAGTTGGACAATGAGCAGAACTTTAAATACTGTTCTAGAAAGAAGCTACTTTTAGATCACCTTACTTGGCAATTTAACAGGCTACTGCAATTTATCTTTCTTTATTCAGAATACTAAGTAAAGATACTTTTCTTCATTTGTGTCTTTATTCAGTACATTATCAAAGTTGTTTCATGATACTTTCATTATACTTTCATTTTAATATGCATGTTCCCAGCCCTTAAATTTAAAAGGAAGGGTCTGGACTGAACATAAAACAATGAAATATTTTTCCTCTTCAGTTCCTCATTCAAGAGCCACCTTAGTTCCAATGTCTCCCTTAGCAGTTAGGTTTCTCATTGAAAGGCACATACTTGTACAATGCTGATTTAACAACCATTTAGTGACTATGACATTTCATGCAGACCTTTCTAAGAGTCATGCTTAACAAAAACAACTTTCAGATTCTCATCCCCTGAAATGTAAGCTTAAGCATTTCAAATGCCAAGTATATAAATATTTCCATAACACTTCCTAACTTTACAAAATAAATTTAAGTACAAATAGATTTATATGGCAAAATATTTTAAACCTCTAGTTTCTCCTCATAAATTCTACAAAATCTATTTATTCTACTTAGGTGGCTCTTAGAGCAAAAATTTCTGGCAATTTCAGAAGCTTTCAGCTCTAGCCTGCAGTGCAAAGGCAGCACAAGAGCAGCAGCAGACCTCTCGAGCGAGGCCTCTTCCCTGCAGTGTCCGTGATCCGACGCCTGCTCCGCTGCTCACAGAACCACAGCCTCAATCCACGGTCCCAGTATAGCAGAAGCCAGCACTTCATCCAGAAAAGGCCTGTCCACCCTTTTTCCTCAAGCTTTATTCTGACCCACGTGCTTTTACCTGCACCAGGAAGGCCAGAAGCAAGTTTGCATTTGCACCCACGTCCTGCCCTGTTAACGAAGGCTGCAGAAGCACTTGGGTCAAACAGGAAATAGGACGGGCCCTCTCCCCTGCAGCATCAGTTCTGTCAGATCCAGCTGACATTGGAATGGGATATAAGGCAAATTCATTCAATTGGTTAACACATTAAGTTATAAATAAGAAATTTACACTTTCAATTAAGTATTTCCTTTTTCTTAAAGGATATTTGTCAAAAAGTTTTATTATAATATCTTAGTATGACATAAACATTTTTCATAAATAATTTCATCTTTGTTAGCCTAAGATTTTAAAGTTAACAAGTATCATCTATATCTATAGCAAAACTGAAGACACTTCT